AGAGCTTTTTAGAATCCACATATGGTTAATAACACTACGAGTAAACAGTATCACAGTATTTCTCTTTCACTGCGGACAGGTTCCTTTGTAGAACATGCAGATGAGCCGGCAATGTACCGTTGTTTGTACGGGATTTTGTGAAGCTTAGGTATCCAATACAAACAAGGGAAGTACTTAGATTTGATGTTCGATGTAATGTTCATTGAAGCCATGAAGGACTTGTGATTAGCCAAAATCTCATCCTTATCAAATGATGTTTTTGTATTTGGGATTACCTGAGTGGTCATTTATTCCTAATTCTTTTACAAGACACTCGTAGTAGTACGATTAACATAAAAAAACAATAGTATTTGGAGCTTTGTCCGAAGGAACAACAACATATCTATCGTGAAGAGATGATAAACATTTCACAGCTTCTTTGTATCTAAAAACGGACTTTGTTCGATCATTCACACAGATTTTCAACTTATGAATTCGACGTTTTATCAGAGACCTGATTGAATTGACCCATTCTGACAAAGTGTGTAGTTCAACTTATTCTTGTTTAGCCCATGTTCTGGCGTAGTCCTCAGTGGAATCCATTATTATCATGAAGTTACCGTTCCAATTGATGTGTTGGGGTTCTCTGGATTTAGGACCATGAGCTATCACCTTTCAGTGATGGCCATGTTGAATTATGTTTAGATCCACAGTAATAATATGGTCAGATGGGCTGTAAATATAAGGTGAGTGGGAATAGTCACAAGCCAGGTAGTTAGGTATTCTTCTAAATCAAGGTCCTGCAATGCTAGCTTATCTTTAAATACTTTAAGTGCAATGGTTTTGGTGTAACTGTAGGATACAATAGGAACAGAATGATTTTGAAAATAAAGTGGAATTTTAGATGTTACCTCTTTGTGATGAAGAACGTTGCTGATATTAATAGCATCAATTCCTTTATTGTAAACACGAACTGAAAGGAATTTCCTCTTTTCATCATGTAAAGGTTCCGATCTTACTGGTTTAAAAAGACGGAAAAGAGCTACACCCCAAATTATACTGACCAGTCTGTATATTGGAGAAATGTATTTGTGCATCCCTTGTCAAGTGCATAATTCCTCAAATATTTAAGAAAATTAACAGGCAGTGAAAAAATAATAGTTCTAATGTAATGTAACCCTAGCGGATGGTGACGATGTGAAAGAAGGTCAACAAATTCTGAAAATATGTCATCAATTTCTCTTTGAATGACTTGATCATTTTGTGGTCTATGAATAACATTTTCAACAGCATGAGCTGTGCATTGATTTGAAAACATGTCTATCGGAATAAAGTTTGTGATATATCTTCGATTTTGTAACTCATTATTATTGATTGGTCTATCTTTTTTGTTGTTGTATAGTTTCATACATCGATGTATCTTTAGATAACGGAATGCACCATACGAGCGGAAGGATTGAGGTGAATTAATACACGTCCATTTTCTAGTTACATCATCGATCGATCAAATATCTTATTATCAGGGACTTGAGATATTAACATCACTGACTAGTATTAAATAAACGTTAAACTTTTATATTGATACATTATGACTTACCTGACTTAATCCACTTCGTCCCATGGGGGACATAGGGCGACCACAGTGGCTTTCCATCTTTTCCTGTCCTTGGCTAGTTTCTTTGTTTCTCCCCATATTTTCCCGATTTTCCGTAGATCAGAGGTTAGATCTCTGCGCCAGGTCGTTTTTGGTCGCCCTCTTTTATGATGGCCCTGAGGATTCCAATCTAACGCCTGTCTAGTTACGTTTGTGTTGTTTTTACGTAACGTGTGTCCAATCATTTCCACCTACGTGTTGTAATCGTTCTTTCTATTGGTTCTTGTATTGTCCTTTTCCATAATTCTTTGTTGCTAATGGTGTTTGGCCACTTAATTCCAATAATGTTTCTAAAGCACCTGTTCGTGAAAACTTGTAATGTTTTGGTACAGACACAGTTGTTAGTCTCCAAGTTTCTGACCCATAGAGAAGTATAGATTTTACATTTGAGTTGAAGATCCTAATTTTGGTGTTTTTTTTAGTGCTTTGCTCCTCCATACTGGTTTAAGGATAGCAAATGCTTGTTGTGCTTTTCTTTTTCTAGATTGAATATTTTCATCTGTCCCTCCTGATGTACTGATGACACTTCCAAGATATGTGAATTCTGGGACATCCTCAATTTCAGCATCTCTCACTTTGGTTGATACATTAATAGTTAACATTATTTTTTTTTTAATCATACATGAATACTTTCTTTTATCAATTGATATTGTAAGTGTAGTCCGTATTCTCAAAATAATTTAACGCCATACTGATGTTAGTACTTATAAATCTATTTTCAAGACTTTATTTTTGTATCATGAATGAAGTTACCATTATTAGTACTTAATATAATATTCATACGTCTAGATAAAACCATGTTGCCATCTACACCCTAATGATTGTACACGATTAGTATATATTTATAAGCGTTTGATATACGCAATACACAGCTTACATATAATGTCATTTTATCAAAGAAGAAATATGTGATAAATAAAAAAAAATAATTTGAGTATATGAGTAGAACAGCAAAATTGCAAATTTTACATGTTTTAAGGAATTGTATATTTAAATATATAATTCCTTGGTGTTTTGTAAATCCTGCATCAAAGGACGTCACTTACCAAAATAAAAAATAAATAAATTTTAATGTTCACTGATTGATACAATATCATGTTTGTTACTCTGCCCTTAATGGGCCATTAATTGGTATAATAAAATATGTATTGCATTGTATTGGATTGTATATACTAGGCGCGAAGAGGAATTTGGGCCAGGATGTCAGGCTATGTTTTGTTTATATATCGAGACAATATTTTATAGATTGATTTTCATGAAATTTGATCTAAACGAAAGTAATAGAATGTTTTATCTTATTGGGGCCATTATTTAAGTCACATTTGTATAGAGATCCTACTCAGAGACATGTGTAGTATCAGAAGTCCATTACTAGAGCCCTAGTAATAGAGGTAGTATGACAACAACAACAACAACAACAACAACAACAACAACAACAACAACAATAATAATAATAATAATAATAATAATAATAATAATAATAATAATAATAATAATAATTATAATAATGATAATATTATTATTTATTTAAAGAGGGTAACCCAATTAGTTTTCACTAATCTTACTTGGGCCCCATAAAGTAAGTACAAACATGATATAGCACATACAAATAAACAATAAAAAACTGAATTTTTTAAAAATATATTTCATGCTTTTTTATGCGCATTTAGAAAAGGTCATGGATGTCAGACAACTTTGCTGAGACTCCTTGAAGATTGGAAAACAGCTCTGGATAAAAATATGTATGTGGGAGCAATACTTATGGATCCTTTGAAAGCTTTTGACTGTCTACAACATGACATTCTTTTAAGTAAATTATCTGCCTATGGTCTTTCTGAAAGAAGTACTCAGCAGTTGGGCTGACATTCAGAAAGGGGTACCCCAAGGCTCAATCCTCGGGCCTCTATTATTTAATATTTTTGTAAATGACATATTCTTTTTGATTGAACATGGAACCCTTTATAATTATGCTGACGATAATACTCTGTCATATGCTGACAACGATTTTGAAAATTTATTATGTACACTTGAAAGAGAGAGTGCAGTTTTGATTGATTGGTTTAGATTTACTTGTATGCAGGCAAATCCTGATAAATTCCAAGCCATTGCAGTTTGAAATAAAACATTTGCAAAAAAATGTGAAACAACACGTTATAAATTGCATGCGTCCGAAGCGCTTTTCTCGATTTACCTTCATCAGGAACGCTCAAAGCCGAATATTTGAAAGCCAAGGATGTATAAGAACCTAAACAGTTGAAGAGCTATATCACCATCTAAGGCCAATTTTGCATGAGGGAGTTGAATCCTTAGTTTTTAACAATTTCAAAATTTATTAGTGGAGTATTTTAGAAAGTTTTGTTATAAATCATGTCAGTGCCGAAGTACTAACTACTGGGCTGCAAAGAAGGCTGTTTTTAATATACAGTCAGCTAAAATATCATGTGATGAGATTGTCAAACTTTTAGGTATCGCTATTAATTATCAACTTAATTTTAATAACAACATTAAACATATTTGTCGTAAATCATCTCAACAACTGAATGTTTTAAAGCGTATTGGTTTCTATCGTACTAAATTAAATAAATTGACCATTTTTCACACATTTATTCTATCTAATTTTTATTTTTGTCCTTTGGCATGGCATTTTTGAAAATAATACCACTAAACTAGAAAAAATTCAAGAAAGGGCTTTACGATTTATATATGAAGACTATGATGAATTACTTGTACAAGCAAAGGTTCCATCAATGAAAATTAGACGTATGCGTAAACATGGCTATTGTATGTTTTAAAATCTTATATAAATTGTCACCACCGTGTTTACATGATTTAGTTGTATTACCAGCTTTCTAATCATGCTTAGTTTACTTTTTATATGCTTTTAGCTTTAATACTTGGTATGCTTTTTAGCTTTAATACCTTGTATGCTTTTTAGCTTTAATACCTAGCGTATCTGATGCTTATAATCTGCTTATTACCACCGTGACCATGCTTTTTATAGCGCTTCATTTTGTGTTATGTAACTTATTGTATGTGTATTATGTGTCGTATTGTTGTGTCTTGTATGTCGGTTAAAAGCTCATTAGAGTTATGTTATGTCCTTATTTGTATACTATGCCGACTCTAAATAAATCTTATTTATTATCCTAGCTGGGAATATTGTACTAATATAATAAACAGTTCCAGGTCCAATCCGATTTTGTGCTTTAACATAAACATAGACTTTTTATATACAACTTAATACTATTCATATTTGCTGTTTATTTTCATCAAATGAATAAAGGCAATGCTCTTGTACAAATAACATGAAATAATACTAAGAAGATCTAAGAAGAGAGGTTTTTTTCGGAATTACTTCCCCTGTTTAACATCACGTGATTGAACACCATTTCTCGATTTTCAAGATGTAAACATTGTTACTTTCTGGAAAATTGGATCAAAGACATCAAATGATATAGGAATATATGTAAGATAACATTGATAGAAGTGATTCGCCTGTATATATCATGTATAACTGCATTGACTTGCTGCCTGTTATGAATTTTCTCATTATTCCTTGCTCTTGGATTTGCCACAGTTAGGAATGGCTGTTCGTGAATCACTGTACATTTCTTAAGATAACTCTGACTGAATATTAAACCAATCAATCCTCTCACCTGAACTTGGCGATCACAATACTGTGGTATAAAATTTTATTCCATTGTTGTACCAGAATTGTTGTTTTTTTGTGATTTTGTATTGTACAACAAGCATGGAAGTATTATAATAATTTAATATAAGATGACATTACTTTTTGACACTAAAAAGCTAGAAATAAATAGACAAAATTGAATAGATAGTTTATTCTGAAATATAAAAACATTCATAATATTATATTTTCAAAAATATATGTTGCACTATTGTCTTGATTGAAGATAGCAAGTGACACACTATAATATCAAATTGCTGGATTTTAAATTAAATTACGCATCTAAATGTGCATGCACAGCATTGCCATAAATGTCATTTTCATTCTTCTATAGATTTTGTTATCATCTGTCCACCTTGTTCCTTCAGAAATCAGAAGGTCAATTGTGTTTATCTGTTTATGTTCCCCAATTTTCTTCTGAAGGGTTTTCTTGTCAAATTGCTTTATGTATTTTAGTATGAAAATAAGGAGATGTGGTATGATTACCAATGAGACAACTATCCACCCAAGTTCAAATAAAGTGGATGTAATTATAAGCAATTACAGGCAACCGTACGAACTTCAACAATGAGAAAAACCCAAACCGTATAGTCATGATAGTCAGCTTTAACAGGTCCAACATGAAAAATATGAAATAGTTCAATTGAGAAAACTATCAACCTAATTTAAGCAAAATAAATATGACAGACATAAACCAACCACAACCACTAAACTACAGACTTCTGACTTAGAACAGGCACATGAAGAATTTGGCGGGGTTAAACATGTTTGTGAGCACTCAACCCTCCCCTTAACCTGGGACAGTGGTGTTACAGCACAACATAAGAACAAACTATAAAAATCAGTTGAAAATGGCTTAACTCATCAAACCAGACATGGCAGGGTATTTATACATCCCTAACTAAAAAAAAGACACAAAATACAGATCTGAGAGTACTCGCAGTTACTGACAACTAGTTCAAAGCCAATAATAATTAATAAAAGAAATCATGTATCTAAGACTAATGTATCAATCAGTACACATCTAACATGCAATGGATTTAGTGTAAAGATGTCATTAACAGTCAAAGAAAAACATGACCTTGTGACTGCTGAGGTATGTATCAATGAAGAATATAAAAATGTTATGGTGCAGTCCGGTGTATCCGTGCACCTAAGACTTTTGTCTTCACTTTTATAATCTCATAAAACCAATAATCGGATAATATTGTGTGAAAAATTCATGACATACTTTAATAAATCTTCTTTATGTATGGCTTCACCCTTAAGATTTTATGTTATGTCAGTCCAAAATTAGGGAAACCCCTGTTTTGACAGTTCATCAAATGTCCGTTGAGTTCGCTCTTGCCTTCTAAAAATAGCTTATTTTGAATACAGGAAAGATTTTATACTACGAAATATAGTTCAGTTTGAATTAAACAGGCTGCCAAGCATGTAGAGCAAAATTTATTTCATTTTGATAAAAATTTGACTTAAAATGAAATCAGTTATATCTGATGATGTACATGATGTAATTTTTTTAATGGAAAATGGTTAATCATGCCGATTCATGGCCATGGGATTACATGTACAATTATAAATTTATGCTTGAACTTATCCATTTTAATCTTTTTTGTCCATTCGGAAGACTAAAACAATTGCATGCTTGTACATGTATGACATAATTTAATTGGATCATTACTTTTAACAACATCAATAGTGGATACTGGTATACAGTATAATTTTTTTTTCATTCAATATCATATACCAGTAATGTAATCGCCATGTTCACGTGATCCAAAACCCACCAAATTCGGTTACCAGAATAGCACTTCCTCTTCCATTCTTCTTTAGTTAAACAATATTGCCTTCATTCTTTTGTGGCTGACTATAGCAGGTAGGTACATTGTATGATGCCTTGTATAGTTGGAGATTTTTGGCAGATGTACATGTAGGTATTTGTTCTTGTATACAGCTATTATTACTTTTATGTAGGAGGTAATTTGTTATTTTGTAACACGTGATAAGTCATCCTTCTTTTTTTACCTTGTTAACTTCTTCTTGCAAATTTCAAGTCAAACTCATTAACTGTACATGTATTTGAGTGTAATTAACTCGAAGGCATCTCAAACAAGCAGGCTGCCATTCAATTGGCTAATAAAAGTAAAAATCCAAAACAGGATGGTTTACACAGTACATGTATATTCAGTGATGTATTCTTTTAAAACTATTTACACTGGTCAGCCTGCTGACAAGTTTCGATGTGACTGGGCCCAGGGATGATATTCACTCTGGTCCTGACGTCCTCCAATGAATTGACTCTACTACCAATTCTTGTTCACTGGAAGAAGGAATGGTAGTAAACATCTCTCTTCACTCTTGTTTGTTTAATTTGTGGATGCAGCGCCATTGCTGATATTACTAATAATTTGTCTGAAAACTCTAGTATCTCCAGAATCGTTAATATTGAAGTAATAAAACGATGAACTATTATCTTTTCATGCAAGTTATAAAAAAGATACAACTCATATTTCCTTGTCTAATTCGATTCAAACAACAGTTTTAGAAAATAAAATGAAATGTGATGATAAGGTACACTGTTTAGGCAACACCTTAGTTACAATGTACTTGCTGCATAAAATGCAGGGGGATAGTAACAGGTCCTCAACAAGTAAAAGAGTTTTTGTGATCTCTACCAAAGTTTAATTCAACAGACTTTGTGGCAACAGAATACATCTAAACTGATTATGATGAGGATTTCTGCAGTGTTTTATGATAATAATTTATTTTTTGTGATCTTATTTGTGCAGTAAGTATATCTTAAAAATGAATGATTATTGAAAGTATTGTCTTTTAGCCATTATTATTTGCGGAAAATGATTTTCAAAAATGATTTAATTTACATTGTACCATATCTTCACATTTCATTTCATTTTTAATACTGTTTTGTTTGATTCATTTAATCTAGACAAGGAAATGCTGAGTTGTGTGTTTTTTTATAACTTGTATGCAAAGGTAAGTGTCACCATGTGCATGGATATAATCATTGATAATGTCATCCCTTTAGTTATCACCTCAATGATTCTGAAAATATTACAGTTTCAGACAAAGAAATATCAAATCATGCTTTAAAATGATATGTCATATGAAAACAAAATCAATAATCAGCTGATTATAAAATGTACAAACATTTAAGAGCTTAGGGTATTAGCACTTCTTATTTCATTCTACGTTGTATGTAAATGTACCATCCTGAACTGATAACATCAAATTGTATCATTTTATCAGATAAGTGTCAAGGACACAATATATTAAAACAGAGATATAATATATATATATATATACTAAATAAAATTTATATTGTATCAGATGTTGTCAGTTTCCAAACATAAAAGCATACATTGTAGGGAATTGACAAAATTGTCTGAAAAAAAGGCAGAAGATGCCTAAGGGAAAATCAACACTCATAAGTCTAACAGAGATGGACAAAATCATGAAATCATGGAAAAACAAAAAAGGCAGAAGATGCCTAAGGGAAAATCAACTCTCATAAGTCTAACAGAGATGGACAAAATCATGAAATCATGGAAAAACAAAAAAGGCAGAAGATGCCTAAGGGAAAATCAACACTCATAAGTCTAACAGAGATGGACAAAATCATAAAATCATGGAAAACCAAGTCAACAAAACGATACATAGAGCACTACAAACCCAACCAAGGGGTGGTCAATGTGTCAGCAAATCCTGCTCCGTATGTGACACTGTCTTTTCCACTAATTATATTGTTTCAAGTATTCCACCTTTGGATCCTTGGAAGTGGTCTAGATGATTTCTTGACAACTTTTTCAGTTAAGACTCGCCAGACTTTTTAGATTAGAAATTTTCTTAATGTTTCCAAAAGTTCTGAACTCACTAATGACCAATTCAGCTGCTATAAGTATCCTTTCAAATTATAAACCATTGCTGTCATCTGTGTTAACCATAATTGCATCTGATTTTAAATATATATGCTTTTATTTCAGTTTTATAGAGTAGTCATGCCTTATGATACTTATGTTCCGTACCATGTGACCAGGTTGTATGTTTTTACAGTGGTGAACTTGATTTTGATGTTCCATGCATCATATGTTAATTGTGATGTTGTTGTCGTAAGTCATTTCATAATATTTAGTACTTTGCTTGAAAAAAAAACCATTATATAATATCACTTATGTTAGATTTGTAAAAAAAAAAACTTACTTTAAATTTTTCAAGCCTAATGTATTGTATGGCATCTCATTTCTAGCTCACCTAACTCATATGGCCATGTGATTTATTGCCATCATTTGGTGTCCACATTGGTTGTCCTAATATTTTTATACCACCGCAATGGTATGATGTTGTCATTGTCGTCGTCCAAAGACATTTGGTTTCCAGACAATAACTCGAGAATAAGTGTATGGATCTCTATGAAATTGTACCACACGGTTCCATATACCAAAAAAGGAAGGTTGGGATTGATTAAGGTGTTTTTAGGAAAAAGGGGCCAAAAACAATACTTTTCTAATACTTTTTATAAATTGCTTATTTCTTGACCAATTTCAGTGGGGTTTAATTCAAAGTCTTGAATTCTTGGGGTTCTTAAATATGCTGAATCTGTATTTAGCATTTGAATTTTGGGCCCAGTTTTTTAGTTGGTCCACATTGAGGTCGAAAGGGTTCAAAATTAAACTTTGTTTGATTTTATCAAAAATTGAATTATTGTGGTTTTTGATATGCAGTATCTAACCGTGTATTTAGATTTTTATTTTTGGGCCCTGTTTTCAAATTGGTCCACATCAAGGTCTAAAAGGGAAAAAAATTAAACTTTTTTTGAATTTATCAAAAATTGAATTCTTGGGGTTCTTTGATATGCTGAATCTAACCATGTTTTAGATTTTCAATTATAAGGTTCATTAGCTATTTACTATATATCAAATGCAAGGATTGGCTTTCTGAGATCCATTTTTTGATTAATGCAATAGAATCTTAAATGAAATAACACCTACCTCAAAACCTTCACTTTAATGAGATATTATCTGAGTTTGAAGCTTACAAGTAACGGAATAACATGCTTGAAAAATTTAATTTGTATGATGTCATGTTTTGAAAACGGTTATCATATGTTCTAATTACTGTTTACATCACATGTCAATTTGAGATCCTCATCGTGGTCCACATTTTAGTCATGTTAATTTCATTCAAAAACAAATTCAACGGTTGTAATCTAAAAAAAATTATAAATTTAAGTGAATGTTAAATTGCAAGAAAAAAATAAAATTGTACAGTGTAGGAAAATATACAAATTTATTTGTACTTGCTACAAACAGAAGAAAACTTGATAAGCCTCTCTTTTCTCTCTGTTTCATAAGCTTATATATATTAATCTTATATTTGCCTACACTGTACTAATATTGTGTATTTAACTAGCTGGGTTATTCCAGTTGACTCAACCAAATGATACTTTGATTTCTTACAAATGAATTAAAGACCTAGATGTCAGTAAATATATACATGTGGTAGTAGATTCTGTGTTAAAAGGTTGTCAGTGGTGTCCAGAAAAGGCTACTTTCTATGACTGCTTTACATATTTGATTGAATTTGAACAAAACTAATATTTTGCAAGATTATCAATATAAAACAAACCTATTTTTGAATACCTATAAAACATAAACCATTTGATTTGTTATTGTTTTACAGTTGGACAAACATGAGAATAGTACAGCAGGAATCCATTTCCCTGATGAACCTGCACAGTTTGGTTCAGATATACCTGAGGACGGTCTAACAGTTTGTATTGGATTTTTAAGATGATAACATGATTCACATTGCATATATATATTCAAAATGTAATCCAAAAAAAATATTCAGTCCAACTCTCCTGAGATTTGGTTTCACAGAATAAGAAAGAAACGCAAATTCATTATGTATAGTTTGACAATTGAATTGTTGACCTCTATGTTACAAAATATAACAGAGTCAAAATATCTTGTTCCTACCAAAGTGACAGTGAAGACTTGTCATGACTGGTAGGTCAGAAATTTAGAGGACAGCAAAGATATTGCAAAATTATCAAAAAATACTTTTGAAGTTACATGTGGATACAAAAAAAAGAATTGATTTTAATCAGATGCTTTTACAAAATAGTATATCTTGTGTTATATGGGTAATTCTATTCTGCTTGACTAGTTTAATACAAGAATAAAATTGAGAATGGAAATGGGGAATGTGTCAAAGAGACAACAACCCGACCATAGAGCAGAAAACAGCTGAAAAAACACTGATAGGTTGAATTAAGTCAATTTACATTTACCTGCATTGGTTTAACCATTGTATGAATGACTTGATTTTGATTGTTTTTATATCAATTTCTCTTTTGTATTTGTTATATATGTAAGTAGTAATGCACAAATAGAAAAAAGTCAAAATGTCTCAAACTTCATTTACTCTTTTAATGCTTTTGTTGCACATGTGCAAATAACTTCCACAATCCTTAGCAAATAAAAGGTATCCAACAACCATGCTTCACAACATACCTAAAACAACAAAGCACTACAATGTACATAAATATAAATTAAATGTGACTGCAAGAGTCTGTGAAAAGGGAAGCAAAAAGTAGTTGTACTCAACCCAAACCATTTACCTTACTCTTTCAATATTTGTAAATACCTAGTTTATCAGTTTACAATAACAATATTGAAAATGTACAAAGTATTCTTTTGAACTTAATTCTGTTTATCAATCCATTTTACCTGCCCAGTATGTCATGGGTGTCTTCTAATATGAATGAAAGCATCACCTGCTATAGGCTTAAATATCAGAGATTCAGAAAAAAATTTTGGAACTTTTTTTTTTCCATATTCAATAACGGCTAACATTCAATATTATGTGCTGGTTGATTTGTGATAATTTCAGATTAAGAATAAAGTTTAAGGCCCTGTATATAATGCCCTGACTACGATGAAGTTATTGTTACATCTACTTGAAACTTAGTTCACATGCATCTTCATATATATACCAAATTGGGGTTTGGACCAAATTTGATTGTTCACAGATGAGGTCTAAGTTTTGATGATTGTATGAATGTATTTTTTGTTTTAGGGATACTTGATATATTTGAAACCATCACCAAGTAACTCCTGTGTACATTATGAACCAAAACCACAACAATTCACAATTGATCAGCCATGGATCGCTCTTATGGCAAGAGCAGGATGTAAATTTGATCAGATGGTATGCTATCATTATGTCTGAAGTTGTTTGGTTCTGCCCCCTCTGTCATGGTCTATTGACTTTGAAACTTTTGCATAGTTTACATTTTTAAGTTTGTGATTAGGTCAGTGTAAGATGAACCACTAATGGTAAGTCAATGGTGTTGGATATACAGATGTATAAGCACTTCATATATGACCTGCAATGGCCTGCAATCACTGCTTTTCCTTCAAAATATCTGAATGTCATAAAATAATGAGATAACAATACATGTTACACATATCTGTATCATTTTTATGTTTGTTTGAGAACCAAAAAATTGTAATAGCAGTTTGAAACACTAGACACAAAAGATGGTGTTTTATTTAATTGATCATCTGTGGTTCACAAAAAAATGCTGGCTCTTGTTTGAACAACAAGTTGGAGTTTTTGTTTACCCTGTTATATTATAGATATGAACCATGTTTATAGTCCTACATAACTGTCTGAAACTTGTATAATATATTATAACATGTGTATGAAATTTTTCATAGTATCGTACTGTTACTATTGTCAGAATATTACATATAACTATATGAATGAAAATTGATCAACCCTCGTATTTGAAGAAAACATTTCTGTTGTAAAGCTGAAAAATAACAGGAAAACATTTTAAAAAAAATCAATGGCAGGCAATCTAAAGATTTTTCTATTATTTCAACAACAAAATATATGAATTTGGCCTTATTGATCTGAATAAAAACAAATTCATGTCAAACCTTAGTGAGCATTTTTCCATGGAATAGATCTTATTTTAGGTTTACATTGCTCAACAAATGAATTTTTCTGCTGTTATTGTACATAATCAATACCCAGATGAAGAACTGATCAATATGGGTGGTAGTGAATGTGAGTATAAACAAAGCCAAATATCAAGATAGCTTTCCTTCTCCTCTACACTAATCTCTCTCAGAAGCTGTAGCCACATCCAGCACATCCGTCAGAACACCTGTTGATGAAGGTGCAAATGTCCATGAGAAATTTGGAAAGAAAAGTATGAAGATATAAATTGGGAGGTTTCTGTCAAAAACATGTCATTGATGGGGTTGATACAGTGGTTGACAAATTACTCCAGTCCCAAGTTTTCTTTTACACATCCTCATCAGCCCCCTCTCCTTGTTCCTTTTACAGGTGCTTGCTGCACAAAGACTTGGCTACAGTGGTGTTATTGTACATAATTATAAATCAGAAGGAGAAAAAAGGGAAAAAATGAAAGGAGGAAAAGGTTGGTTGTAATGTCAGAAAAATAAAGTGAAGACTAGAAAATACAGCATTTTTAATTCTCAAGAATGAAATATTTATTTCAAATATGATGAGTATATTTTAAACAAATAATTTGGAACAATGAAATAAGGATTATCAGTACTATCAAATATAGTACATGTATACTTTACATTTTTACTCTAATGCATTTGTATGTAAAAATAAGTTCCTTGGTAATTGGTCAAAAACCACTGCTAGTAAGTAAAGGATTTACCATTGAGAGAATTGTGATACAAGTCTTAGCTTTTCAAAAAAGCTGATCTGATTAAATAGATAGCTTTTTGTAATGTTCCTGATAAAGAGAAACAATGCATATGATACCTGATATATTTATTTTAATATAAAATTAGTTCTGGACGAATAATTTTCCAACAGGTTCAGTATTTGATAAAGGTGGTCCCTTATTCTAATAAACAATGTTGCATGGTATGGCTGTAACAAGCCAACAAAAAAAGGTGGTAAAGATGGTCTTAAACTCTCATTTCAATTAATTCTTTCTTTTGTGCAAGGAAAGAAATCAACTTTTGAGTTACAGCTTTTTGTTCAGGTAATTTTTTTTTCTTTTCACAGGTAAAATTAGTTATCTCTAACAATCTAATTTAGTTCTATACTACATCAATACATTAGGACAATCTAAATATAAATCCCTTTTCTAAATCTCCATTGACATTATTCAAAGCTAAGGTACTATTTGGGCTTAATTGTTCACTTTGGTAGTCAATACAGTTTCATATTGTATCTTATATTTTTTTTAAATACTTAGTAATCAAATATGACCTCCTTGAAAAATAACAAAATGAAACATAAGTTACTTGCTATATTTTGAGAAAATGAGGTTGAATAATGGGAATTTTTCTCATTTAAACAAAAATTATTATAACTTTGGGGAAAAAAAGTGTACTTGTATTTTTGAGGATGAGTGGTCAAATCAAATGTCTTTAAAAGCTCTACTAAATATACAAAGAGAAAAAATTTATGCCATTAAATTTTTTTTTTTAATGATTACCAACTTGCTAGAAAAAAGTTACTGTGAGTTCAGAATTTTTTTAATAAATGTTTTTATACTTATGAAAATTCACTATGATAGGTAAAGCAAAAATGAAAACGCACATAAAGTGACATTTTAAGTTTTGATAGTATTTTTGTATGCGGCATTTCCTGAAATCGAAATAAAAATTCAGACATTTTTAGCTCACCTGGCCCAAAGGGCCAAGTGAGCTTTTCTCATCACTTGTCGTCCGTCGTCGTTAACTTTTACAAAAATCTTCTCCTCTGAAACTACTCGGCCAAATTAAACAAAAACTTGGCCACAATCATCATTAGGGTATCTAGTTTAAAAAATGTGTCCGGTGACCCGGCCAACCAACCAAGATGGCCACCATGGCTAAAAATAGAACATAGGGGTAAAATGTAGATTTTGGCTTATATCTCTGAAACCAAAGCATGTAGAGCAAATCTGACACGGGGGTAAAATTGTTTATCAGGTCAAGATCTATCTGCCCTGAAATTTTCAGATGAATCTGACAACCCGTTGTTGGGTTGCTGCCCCTTAATTGGTAATTTTATTGGTTATTATCTTGAATATTATTATAGATAGAGATAAACTGTAAACAGCAATAATGTTCAGCAAAGAAAGATCTACAATTAAGTCAACTTGACCAAAATGGTCAGTTGACCCCTTAAGGAGTTATTGCCCTTTATAGTCAATTTTTGTCGAGCCTGCGACTTTTGTCGCAGAAAGCTCGACATAGGGATAGCGATCCGGCGGCTGCGGCGTTAGCTAACTTCTTAAAAGCTTTATATTTTAGAAGGTGGAAGACCTGGATGCTTCATACTTTGTATATGGATGCCTCATGTTACGAAGTTTCCGTCAGTCACATGTCCAATTTCCTTGACCTCATTTTCATGGTTCAGTGACTACTTGAAAAAAAAGTTCAGATTATTTGTAATGTTAAATTCTCTCTTATTATAAGTAATAGGATAACTATATTTAGTATGTGCGTACCTTGCAAGGTCCTCATGCCTGTCAGACAGTTTTCACTTGACCTCGACCTCATTTCATGGATCAGTGAACAAGGTTAAGTTTTGGTGGTCAAGTCCATATCTCAGATACTATAAGCAATAGGTCTAGTATATTTGGTGTATGGAAGGACTGTAAGGTGTACATGTCCAACTGGCAGGTGTCATCTGACCTTGACCTCATTTTCATGGTTCAGTGGTTATAGTTAAGTTTTTGTGTTTTGGTCTGTTTTTCTTATACTGTATGCAATAGGTCTATTATATTTGGTGTATGGAATGATTGTAAGGTGTACATGTCCAACTGGCAGGTGTCATCTGACCTTGACCTCATTTTCATGGTTCAGTGGTTATAGTTAAGTTTTTGTGTTTTGGTCTGTTTTTCTTATACTGTATGCAATAGGTCTATTATATTTGGTGTATGGAATGATTGTAAGGTGTACATGTCCAACTGGCAGGTGTCATCTGACCTTGACCTCATTTTCATGGTTCAGTGGTTATAGTTAAGTTTTTGTGTTTTGGTCCGTTTTTCTTATACTTTATCCAATAGGTCTATTATATTTGGTGTATGGAATGATTGTAAGGTGTACATGTCCAACTGGCAGGTGTCATCTGACCTTGACCTCATTTTCATGGTTCAGTGGTTATAGTTAAGTTTTTGTGTTTAGGTCCGTTTTTCTTATACTTTATCCAATAGGTCTACTATATTTGGTGTATGGAATGATTGTAAGGTGTACATGTCCAACTGGCAGGTGTCATCTGACTTTGACCTCATTTTCATGGTTCAGTGGTCAAAGTTAAGTTTTTGAGTTTTGGTCTTTTTTCTTATACTATTATGCAATCAGTCAACTATATTTGGTGTATGGAAATATTCTATGTACATGTCAGTCTCGCAGGTTTTATTTGACCTTGACCTCATTTTCACAGTTCATTGCTCAGTGTTAAGTTTATGTGTTTCAGTCTGTTTTTCTTAAACTATAAGCAATAGGTCAGCTATATTTGTTGTATGGAAGGATTGTAAGCTGTTCATGTCTGCCTGGCATGGTTCATCTGACGTTGACCTCATTTTCACGATTCATTGGTCAATGTTTAGTTTTCTTGGTTAAGTCTGTTTCTTAGAAACTATAAGCAATAGGTCAACTATATTTAGTGTATTGAATGATTGTAAGGTGTACATGTATTTCTTGTTTGGTTTATATGACCTTGACTTCATTTTCTTGGATCATGTTCAGTTTATGTAATAGTTGTAGTAAAGCTTTCATTTAGGACTATCAACATAATATCAATGGTTAGTAAAGAAGGCGAGACATTTCAGTGTGTCCACTCTTGTTAACCATTTTTCGTAAATTTTTGTAATCTTTTATAAAAAATTTCTCCTCTAAAACTACTAAGACAAATTTAACCAAACTTGTCCACAATCATCATTAGGGTATCTAGTTTAAAAAATGTGTCCGATGACCCCGCCCGCGAACCAAAATGGCCGACATGGCTAAAAAATAGTACATAGGGTAAAATGCAGTTTTTGGCTCATATCTCTGAAACCAAAGCATTTAGAGCAAATCTGACACAGGGTACAATTGTTTATCAGGTCAAGATCTATCTGCCCTTAAATTTTCAGACCAGTCAGGCAACACGTTGTTGGGTTGCTGCCCCTGAATTGGTAATTTTAAGAAAATTTTGCAGCTTTTGGTTATTATCTTGAATATTATTATAGATAGAGATAAACTGTAAACAGCAATAATGTACAGCAAAGTAAGATCTACAAATAAGTCAACATGACCAAAATTGTCAATTGACCCCTTAAGGAGTTATTGCCCTTTATAGTCAATTTTTTACAATTTTCATAAATTTTGTAAATTTTTGTAAATTTTTACAAAATATTTTCCACTGTAACTACTGGGCCAAGTTCATTATAGATAGAGATAATTGTAAGCAGCAAGAATGTTCAGTAAAGTAAGATTTACAAACACATCACCATCACCAAAACACAATTTTGTCATGAATCCATCTGTGTCCTTTGTTTAATATGCACATATACCAAGGTGAGCGACACAGGCTCTTTAGAGCCTCTAGTTTTTTCTTTCAACAATTGCAATGATAAATGCATGCAGAAATTTATTTGTTTGATGCATTTCCTGAAATCGAAATAGAAATTCAAACATTTTTTGTCCATTCAACAATTGCAATGATAAATGCATGCAGAAATTTGTGAATAAAATTTACATTTTTCCTGGACAATAATCATGCTCTATGTTATAAAATTTACCTAAAATAAGCCTTTCTATTTTGCTAAAATTTAACAAGTATCTCATATGGTGTCATAGTCAAATTTATCTATCACACCACAGCTATTGACTTTTTCTTATGAAAAGCATTTGCTTAGCTATTTAGAAAATATGTTTCAAAATGTTGTTGTAATTATCAGCAAATTTACAAGGCGAAATAAGGCCAGAAAAAAAACCCTTTCCTTTTGTTTGTACCGTACTGTGGATTCATTTATTGTTGTGGATTGAGGAATGCTTTTGTCAAAGTATGTATGTAAGCCAATAGAAAATTTATATTTGTTTGAACATTTAGATTGGTGGTTTACTTACACCCACGAAATCCATGAATATTGGTATCCAACGAATAATAATGAAACCACAGTATTACCTAATTATGGCACTTTCAAATGTTTCTGGATAACTCTAATTTATGGAGTAGATAGACTTGGCCAGAGGAAACACTGGAGCAATTATTTCTCTTTTTCATAACAAACTGATAAACATATTCCTAATATTTGTTATTGTTTTAAATAGAAAGAAAATTTTGAACATATTACTGTTCACACTATGACATGACTTAGAATGAACTGCCATTTCTGTACTGTGTGATTATACTTGCAAAGCTTTGTCCTAACTGTTCTGGTATTACCATTATTGTAATACAATGGATGCTAGCTGTCATTGAAACAGATATACACTTGTTGAATCTATTTTCTGATGACTTCAATGTCTAATCTTTGCCTTACAGAGTCTTGTTACTAAATAATAAAAAAATATTTCTTTCTGTAACAATTATCTTGCATCTCATTACATACCGTATACATTTATTATAAAGCAGTTAAAAGTTAAACAAAACCTTTTCATTATTTACTCTGATAAAAATACTTGACTCTCAATTAGTTGGCATATTCTTCAGTAGCTATTGAATCTCAGGCACTAGTTATGCTCTCATTCATGTCATGATTGTTACTGTTCCCATTAGTAGCTGTTTCCTTATTATTGAACACGTTAAATCCAAGACACCAAGTATCTTTAATACCGTACCTGAACAATACCTTATTGCTAATTTCTTAAAGTAAAAACACATAGTTTTGTTTTGTTGATACAATTTGTTGGTTATAAATGATGACAAAATGAACATTTTTCTTTACAGATGCAAATCAAGTACACATTCCATCAGTTTTTGTTGGTTACTATGATGGGGATAATTTAGGGAAATATTATGTGTTTAATGCCTCAGATGGCAGGTATGTAACACACCATTCTTTTCTTACCATGCTTACTGTCAGGTTACTTGTGTGATCATTTTTTATCAAAATAGTAAATGGTAGCCAAAATATATGATTTAAAAATGGTATAATATTGTAAAATAATTTCAGTGTTCATTCATTGCTCTTTTTTTTTTTAATTTTTAAGCATGCATCTCCTGTTTGAAACCAAAATAAATTTATCTTTCTTAAATGAACACAAACTACTGAAATTTGTCTATTTAGTCCTAACTTTCTGTGATATAACAATGCAAATGTCAAGGTATACAAGATATGTTTATACACCAATATGCCAAGGTATTTTCCTAGTCTCACAAACTGAAAATAAAACTCAAATAGGATACACTTGTATTATTTTGAAAAATTCTTTTGAGATCAAAGCTTTTTTCCATTAAAATACTAATATGGTCAATTTTGTTATCAGCTGTTTCTTTTAATTGACACCAAGTCTTTCAGAGACTACACAACCCCATTTAAGGACAGTGCATGGGGTCTATGTAAAAGGAAGTAGAATTGGTAAATGTACAGAATTAGGAGAAGCTTTAATGACAACAAACTTAACACCTCAATAATAATCTTAATATAGATACATTAATTTATTTACAATTTATTATTTGATTATTTGTTACACAACTTTAAGTTACTTTAAAAATTGCATGGAATATTCAGTAATTTGTAAATATTTCATAGATTAATGTTTGATCAAAATGATGTACAAATGTATTATTTTTCTGCCCTCGCAATAGCGGAAGGGGCATTAAGTGTTACCCTTGTCCGTCCGTACATCCCCAAAATTGGTTTCCATTCTCTAACTTTAGTTTGCCTCAACCAAATGTTATAAAACTTATACACAATGCTTATTATCACAAAACACAGATCAAATTCGAAATTGGGTGGCATCACTTTTACTGTTCATGAGTTATGCTCCTTTATAACTTTAGTTTGCGTAAAGCAAACGTTATGAAACTTTTATACAATGCTTAAAATCACAAAAAGGTCTTAACTACGTGAATCCTGCATCTGTATGTGAAAGTTGACTCATGCATATTTACAACGTCTCTCAAATTTCTCCATTTATTTCCTTCTGTAAAACATATGCTCTAGATGATTAGCTAAAAATTTCAAACCACAGAAGTATATTTCCACATGAAATATCATGTGTCAAACTCTACTAAATCAAAACTTACTGTAAAATAAACTTAACACAAATATTTTACATTTTGATTCATTTCTTTTTCAGTAGTTTTTTTACTCTCTCCCCCCCCCCACACACACACACACACACACCTGATATAGGTTTATTTATACTAGTAAATATTAAACTGTCTTCTATTTTCACACTCTTGGCAGTTTTAGATATTCAGGTATTTATAAATTTTTCTATTGATTTATTATTTCAGGTATCTTGTAAAGATAGATAAAGAAGGGTTTGACTTTAAACCCTATTTGTTATGGCCATTTGCTATAGTTGTTGGTACCTGTTTTGTGTTAATGTTAATATTTATGGTAAGTCAACTCATTCATCACATTGTGTTGTAGAAAATTATAGGAACTTACATGTTAGGTTCTAGAATAACACTATTTTTTATGCCCTGCTTACAATGAAGTTGTGGTTAAATCTACTTGAAACTTAGTAAACATGCATGTTCTTTATGCTGTGGACTTTTTAAAATATATACCAAATTAGGGTTTGGACCAAAATTTAATTGTTCACTGATGAGGTCTAAGTTTTGGTTGAAGGTAGTTCCCTTTTTGACCCAACCTTTTGCCTTAAACAGTCACACATTTCCGGTCATAAAAGTGACATGATTATTAAGTACTATCAAAACAAACCCTACTTTAGTACCTTATCATTTTAATCAAGGTTTTAAAATTAGTTGTCGGACAGCTAAAATTTACCTGTTCAGGCGACAGGTAAACTATTTTGTACCGGACATTGATCGGTCTATTCAAAATTATTTTCTTACATTTAAGCTGTTTGCATCTAATTAATTTAGTCAGAAAGATTAAATTTGTCTGAAATACGTTTACTCTAGCAGTGTGGCTATACTGTAATCCCCTTGTCTGTCTATTTCTCCATCAATTTATATCTTTACTCTAGCAGTGGGACTATACTGTAATCCCCTTGTCTGTCTATTTCTCTATCAATTTATATCTTTACTCTAGCAGTGGGGCTATACTGTAATCCCAATGTCTGTCCATTTCTACAACAATTTATACCTTTTCTCTAGCGGTGGTGCTGTACTGTAATCCCCTTGTCTCCATTTCTCTGACAATTTATACCTTTACTCTAGGATTGGCCTATACTGTAATCCTGTTGTCTGTCCATTTCTACAACAATTTATACCTTTACTCTAGCAGTGGGCTATACTGTAATCCCGTTGTCTCTATTTCACCATCAATTTATACCTTTACTCTAGCAGTGGGGCTATACTGTAATCCCATTGTCTGTCCATTTCTCGAACAATTTATACCTTTTACTCTAGCAGTGGGGCTATACTGTAATCCTGTTGTCTGTCCATTTCTACAACAATTTAAAACCTTTACTCAAGCAGTAGGGCTAAACTGGAATCCCCTTGTCTGTCCATTTCTCCAACAATTTATACCTTTACTCTAGGATTGGGATATACTATAATCCTGTTGTCTGTCCATTTCTCCAACAATTTATACCTTTACTCTAGCAGTGGGGCTAAACTGTAATCCTGTTGTCTGTCCATTTCTCCAACAATTTATACCTTCACTCTAGCAGTGGGGCTATACTGTAATCCCGTTGTCTGTCCATTTCTTCAACAATTTATACCTTTACTCAAGCAGTGGGGCTAAACTGGAATCCCCTTGTCTGTCCATTTCTCCAACAATTTATACCTTTACTCTAGGATTGGGATATACTGTAATCCTGTTGTCTGTCTATTTCTCCAACAATTTATACCTTCACTCTAGCGGTGGGCTAAACTGTAATCCTGTTGTCTGTCCATTTCTCCAACAATTTATACCTTCACTCTAGCGGTGGGGCTATACTGTAATCCCGTTGTCTGTCCATTTCTTCAACAATTTATACCTTTACTCCAGCAGTGGGGCTATACTGTAATCCTGTTATCTGTCCATTTCTCCAACAATTTTTATACGACCGCAAAAAAATTTTTGTGGTCGTATATTGGTATGACGTTGGCGTCGTCGTCGTCGTCGTCCGGCGTCGTCGTCGGCGTCGTCCGAAGACACATTGGTTTTCGCACTCTAACTTTAGTTTAAGTGAATGGATCTTTATGAAATTTTACCACAAGGTTCAATACAACAAAAGGAAGGTTGGGATTGATTTTGGGGGTTATGGTAATAACAGTAAAGGAATTAGGGGCCAAAAATAAGCATTTTTGTAACTTCCAGACATAACTTGTGTGTTAGTGTATGGATCTCTCTGACATTGTACCACAAGGTTCCATATCACTAAAGGAATGCTGGGATTGATTTTGGGGGTAATTGCCTCCAAATTTTAGGAATTAGGGGCCAAAAAAGGGGCAAAAAACAAGCATTTTTCTAGTTTCATGACAATAACTTGTGTGTAAGTGTATGGATCTTTCTGAAATTGTACTACAAGGTTCCATATCACAAAGGGAAAGCTGGGTTTGAGTTTGGGGGTAATTGCCCTAAACGTTTAGGAATTTGGGGCCAAAAAGGGGCCAAAAAACACATTTTTTTCTAGTTTCCAGACAATAACTTGTGTTCAAGTGTATGGATCTCTCTGAAATTGTACTGCAAGGTACCATACCACAAAGGGAAGGCTGGGATTGAGTTTGGGGGTGATGAATCATAATGGGGGTTCAAAAAATTTTGGGGGGGGATTTTTTTTTTTTTCCTTTTTTTTCTTTTTTTCCTTTTTTGTTTCTTTTAAAATTTTCCATTTTAAGTTGGTTATTTCTGATTTATATTTAAAATCAAATAATAATGATATGGTAGGAGATACACACCAAACAGGATGTGTAAATTATTATATAATAAGTATTGTGCAATAGCAAGAAATTTTCAATTGCACAGTATTGCACAATAGCAAGAAATCTTCAATTGCACAGTATTGCGCAATAGCAAGAAATCTTCAATTGCACAGTACTGCGCAATAGCAAGAAATATCCAATAGCACAATATTGCGCAATAGCAAGAAATTGTCAATTGTACAGTATTGCGCAATAGCAAGAAATATTCAATTGCACAGTATTGTGCAAAAGAAGATACTTCGTATAAATTGCTTATTTCTTGACCAATTTCAATGGGGTTTTATTCTTGATTTCATGGGGTTCTTTAATATGCTGAATCTAACCGTGTATTTAGTTTTTGGATTTTGGGCCCCGTTTTTAAATTGGTCCACATTGAGGTCCAAAGGGTCCAAAATTAAACTTTGTTTGATTTCATCAAAAATTGAATTATTGGGGTTCTTTGATATGCCGAATCTAACTGTGTATTTAGATTCTTAAATTTTGGTTCCGTTTTCAAATTGGTCTACATTAAGGTCCAAAGGGTCCAAAATTAAACTTAGTTTGATTTTAACAAAAATTGAATTCTTAGGGTTCTTTGATATGCTGAATCTAAACATGTATTTAGATTTTTGATTATGGGCCCAGTTTTCAAGTTGGTCCAAATCGGGGTCCAAAATTAAACTTTGTTTGATTTCAACAAAAATTGAATATATGGGGTTCTTTGATATGCTGAATCTAACCATGTATTTAGATTTTTGATTTTTGGGCCCCGTTATCAACTTTGTCCACATTGAGGTCAAAAGGGTCCAAAATTAAACTTTGTTTGATTTCATCAAAAATTGAATTATTGGGGTTCTTTGATATGCCGAATCTAACCGTGTATTTAGATTCTTAATTTTTGGTTCCGTTTTCAAATTGGTCTACATTAAGGTCCAAAGGGTCCAAAATTAAACTTAGTTTGATTTTAACAAAAATTGAATTCTTAGGGTTCTTTGATATGCTGAATCTAAACATGTATTTAGATTTTTGATTATGGGCCCAGTTTTCAAGTTGGTCCAAATCGGGGTCCAAAATTAAACTTTGTTTGATTTCAACAAAAATTGAATATATGGGGTTCTTTGATATGCTGAATCTAACCATGTATTTAGATTTTGGATATTGGACCATAATAGGTGAATGTCCAATTTAAAATTTTTAAGTTCTTAGACCACATTCAATCTGTGTTAGAAACCTATGCTGTGTCAAATATTTAATCACAATCCAAATCCAAAGCTGTATCAAGCTTGAATGTTGTGTCCATACTTCCCCCAACTGTTCAGGGTTCGACCTCTGCGGTCGTATCAAGCTGCCCCCTGCGGAGCATTTTATTACCTCTACTCTAGCAATGGGGCTATACTGTAATCCCATTGTCCATTTCTACAACAATTTATACCTTTACTCTAGCAGTAGGGATTTACAGTAATCCTCTTGTCTGTCCATTTCTACAACAATTCATACCTTTACTCTAGCAGTAGGGATTTACAGTAATCCTCTTGTCTGTCCATTTCTACAACAATTTATACCTTTACTCTAGCAGTTGGGCTATACAGTAATCCCGTTGTCTGTCCATTTCTCCAACAATTTATACCTTTACTCTAGCAGTAGGGATTTACAGTAATCCTCTTGTCTGTCCATTTCTACAACAATTTATACCTTTACTCTAGCAGTAGGGCTATACAGTAATCCTCTTGTCAGTCCATTTCTACAACAATTTATACCTTTACTCCAGCAGTGGGGCTATACTGTAATCCCGTTGTCTGTCCATTTCTCCAACAATTTTTACCTTTACTCTAGCAATGGGGCTATACTGTAATCCCATTGTCTGTCCATTTCTACAACAATTTATACCTTTACTCTAGCAGTAGGGCTATACTGTAATCCCGTTGTCTGTCCATTTGTACAACAATTTATACCTTTATTCTAGCAGTAGGGATTTACAGTAATCCTCTTGTCTGTCCATTTCTACAACAATTTATACCTTTACTCTAGCAGTAGGGCTATACATTAATCCTCTTGTCAGTCCATTTCTACAACAATTTTTACCTTTACTCCAGCAGTGGGGCTATACTGTAATCCCGTTGTCTGTCCATTTCTCCAACAATTTTTACCTTTACTCTAGCAATGGGGCTATACTGTAATCCCATTGTCTGTCCATTTCTACAACAATTTATACCTTTACTCTAGCAGTAGGGATTTACAGTAATCCTCTTGTCTGTCCATTTCTACAACAATTTATACCTTTACTCTAGCAGTAGGGCTATACAGTAATCCTCTTGTCAGTCCATTTCTACAACAATTTTTACCTTTACTCCAGCAGTGGGGCTATACTGTAATCCCCTTGTCTGTCCATTTCTCCAACAATTTATACCTTTACTCTAGGATTGGGATATACTGTAATCCTGTTGTCTGTCCATTTCTCCAACAATTTATACCTTTACTCTAGCAGTGGGGCTAGACTGTAATCCCGTTGTCTGTCCATTTCTCCAACAATTTATACCTTCACTCTAGCGGTGGGGCTAAACTGTAATCCCGTTGTCTGTCCGTTTCTCCAACAATTTATACCTTCACTCTAGCGGTGGGGCTATACTGTAATCCCGTTGTCTGTCCATTTCTTCAACAATTTATACCTTTACTCCAGCAGTGGGGCTATACTGTAATCCTGTTATCTGTCAATTTCTCCAACAATTTTTACCTCTACTCTAGCAATGGGGCTATACTGTAATCCCATTGTCGGTCCATTTCTACAACAATTTATACCTTTACTCTAGCAGTAGGGATTTACAGTAATCCTCTTGTCTGTCCATTTCTACAACAATTCATACCTTTACTCTAGCAGTAGGGATTTACAGTAATCCTCTTGTCTGTCCATTTCTACAACAATTTATACCTTTACTCTAGCAGTTGGGCTATACAGTAATCCCGTTGTCTGTCCATTTCTACAACAATTTATACCTTTACTCTAGCAGTAGGGCTATACAGTAAACCTCTTGTCTGTCTATTTCTTCAACAATTTATACCTTTACTCTAGCAGTAGGGCTATACAGTAATCCTCTTGTCTGTCCATTTCTACAACAATTTATTCCTTTACTATAGCAGTGGGTCTATACTGTAATCCCGTTGTCTGTCCATTTCTACAACAATTTATACCTATAGTCTAGCAATGGGGCTATACTGTAATCCCGTTGTCTGTCCATATCTGCAACAATTTATACCTTTACTCTAGCAGTAGGGCTATACAGTAATCCTCTTGTCAGTCCATTTCTACAACAATTTATACCTTTACTCCAGCAGTGGGGCTATACTGTAATCCCGTTGTCTGTCCATTTCTCCAACAATTTTTACCTTTACTCTAGCAATGGGGCTATACTGTAATCCCATTGTCTGTCCATTTCTACAACAATTTATACCTTTACTCTAGCAGTAGGGCTATACTGTAATCCCGTTGTCTGTCCATTTGTACAACAATTTATACCTTTACTTTAGCAGTAGGGATTTACAGGAATCCTCTTGTCTGTCCATTTCTACAACAATTTATACCTTTACTCTAGCAGTAGGGCTATACAGTAATCCTCTTGTCAGTCCATTTCTACAACAATTTATACCTTTACTCCAGCAGTGGGGCTATACTGTAATCCCGTTGTCTGTCCATTTCTCCAACAATTTTTACCTTTACTCTAGCAATGGGGCTATACTGTAATCCCATTGTCTGTCCATTTCTACAACAATTTATACCTCTACTCTAGCAATGGGGCTATACAGTAATCCTGTTGTCTGTCCATTTCTACAACAATTTATACCTTTACTCTAGCAGTAGGGCTATACAGTAAACCTCTTGTCTGTCTATTTCTACAACAATTTATACCTTTACTCTAGCAGTAGGGCTATACAGTAATCCTCTTGTCTGTCCATTTCTACAACAATTTATTCCTTTACTATAACAGTGGGTCTATACTGTAAACCCGTTGTCTGTCCATTTCTACAACAATTTATACCTATAGTCTAGCAATGGGGCTATACTGTAATCCCGTTGTCTGTCCATATCTGCAACAATTTATACCTTTACTCTAGCAGTAGGGCTATACAGTAATCCTCTTGTCTGTCCATTTCTCCAACAATTTATACCTTTACTCTATCAGTAGGGCTATACAGTAATCCTCTTGTCTGTCCATTTCTCCAACAATTTATTCCTTTACTATAGCAGTGGGTCTATACAGTAAACCTCTTGTCTGTCCATTTCTACAACAATTTATACCTTTACTCTAGCAATGGGTCTATACTGTAATCCTCTTGTCTGTCCATTTCTACAACAATTTATACCTTTACTCTAGCAGTAGGGATTTACAGTAATCCTCTTGTCTGTCCATTTCTACAACAATTTATACCTTTACTCTAGCAGTAGGGCTATACAGTAATCCTCTTGTCTGTCCATTTCTACAACAATTTATACCTTTACTCTAGCAATGGGTCTATACTGTAATCCCATTGTCTGTCCATTTCTCCAACAATTTATACCTTTACTCTAGCAGTAGGGCTATACAGTAATACTCTTGTCTGTCCATTTCTACAACAATTTATACCTTTACTCCAGCAGTGGGGCTATACTGTAATCCTGTTGTCTGTCCATTTCTCAATCAATTTATACCTTTACTATAGCAGTGGGTCTATACAGTAATCCTCTTGTCTGTCCATTTCTACAACAATTTATACCTTTACTCTAGCAGTAGGGCTATACAGTAATCCTCTTGTCTGTCCATTTCTACAACAATTTATACCTTTACTCTAGCAATGGGTCTATACTGTAATCCCATTGTCTGTCCATTTCTCCAACAATTTATACCTTTACTCTAGCAGTAGGGCTATACAGTAATCCACTTGTCTGTCCATTTCTACAACAATTTATACCTTTACTCTAGCAGTAGGGCTATACAGTAATCCTCTTGTCAGTCCATTTCTACAACAATTTATACCTTTACTCCAGCAGTGGGGCTATACTGTAATCCCATTGTCTGTCCATTTCTCCAACAATTTATACCTTTACTCTAGCAGTAGGGCTATACAGTAATCCACTTGTCTGTCCATTTCTACAACAATTTATACCTTTACTCTAGCAGTAGGGCTATACAGTAATCCTCTTGTCAGTCCATTTCTACAACAATTTATACCTTTACTCCAGCAGTGGGGCTATACTGTAATCCCGTTGTCTGTCCATTTCTCCAACAATTTTTACCTTTACTCCAGCAGTGGGGCTATACTGTAATCCTGTTGTCTGTCCATTTCTCAATCAATTTATACCTTTACTATAGCAGTGGGTCTATACAGTAATCCTCTTGTCTGTCCATTTCTACAACAATTTATACCTTTACTCTAGCAATGGGGCTATACTGTAATCCCATTGTCTGTCCATTTCTCCAACAATTTATACCTTTACTCTAGCAGTAGGGCTATACAGTTATCCTCTTGTCTGTCCATTTCTCCAACAATTTATACCTTCGCTGTAGCAGTAGGCCTTTACTGTAACCCCCTTGTCTGTCCATTTCTCCAACAAATATTTTTGTCACACTTTTCATATTTGGACAGGAGTTTGACAGTGATAAGTTGTATGGTGCTTCTGCTTTTCTGATTTGTCAGAAACATACATCCTGGTTTCCCATACATTGAATTTCCAATATGTTATAGAATAGAATAAATTCATATGCAACATAACACTGAATACTTGTAAAATGTGTAAGTACAGTTGAGGTTTGTTTTCCTGTATTCCAATACCTTGATTTGTAAAAGATACACAACACACATACATTGCTGCATTAACACATGTATGATTGTAAATAATTACATTTTTTTAAATGAATCTAATGGTGTCAAATGATTAGAGAAATGAAGTAAGAGTTATACATTTGATATAGATAATTGTATTGTATTTTCAGCTTGTTAGATTTTGTCGTGATCTACACAAGAAGAGGAAGTCCAGGCTCTCAACTAAACATCTGAAAAAGATTCCCATCAAAAAGTTTAAAAAAGGTATTTTGTTATCTATCTATATATTAGATTGTACCAGTTTTATCTTCAGTTACACCAATCCCTCTTGCCCTTTATATTTACCATGGTGCTATCAGAATAGATTTTATACTGTAAATTCAGAAATTATTGCGTGCATTTATTATTGCGATTTTGTCATTTTAGACTAAAATGTGATTTTAATTTCAAAATGCGAGTTTAAATTATTGCGATTATAACCCTGTTGCATTTTCGCAATAATAAAAACATCGCAATAATTTCTGAATTTACAGTATTAGAATGTACAACTGTAATATAAATGTGCTATAATTTCAGGGAAGCAGGGCTATTTTCAAATGCAGTGGTACTATTCAAAAATAATTTGTTGAAATCTTGCTAAAATAGATAATTGTGAAAGGAAGGTTGTTGAAATGGTCAGAAATATTTAAAGGGGCCTTAGTCAGGAAACAAGTTTGGAGAGGTCAAATGAAAATATATGACCTATTGATCTCATTATTTAATTCAGATGCCATATGACGGAAATACTAAATTAACCCCTTGCAGGAGTTACTATCCTTAAATAGAAATTATATGTAGCATTTCTGATTTTTTTTTAAAAGGCTGGAGGCTTGGACAGTCTTGAGATACGGACAAATCTAGTTTTTACAAATGAAGTATTAATTACTTTTTTATTCTGACTTTTGTTATTTAAATGTGTCTAGTCATAAATGAATTAACTACCAGTAATACAAAATCAATGAAGTTTAGGCACTATTTTTACTGTGTAAACAAACAACTAATCAATTAACAGTGAAGGTTAAAGAAAATTGTTAACAAATATTAAAACAAATATATTTTATCTTTTCCAGGTGATGTGTATGATGTATGTGCAATTTGTTTGGATGATTATGAAGAGGGAGAAAAATTACGGGTCCTGCCATGTGCTCATGGTTAGTATTATTATCAACATAGAATTTTTGTCAGCTGACCATGTTTAAAGTCTATTGTATAGCAACCAATTATGACATAGAAGGTGATAGAATGTAATCAAATTTAAGTGGAATAAGAACTTGTTTACAACCACATATTTTTAGTGATTGGTATATACTAAAACAACAAAACATTGTCATGGGGATTAGTAAAGATTCATGTTATGTTTATTTCAATTTCAAATCTTTGTTTATACTTTATATTGGTGCTTTAATATCTTATATATCTCTAACAGGAAAAATTCTGAAAATGTATAATGGTTATTTTTGTTTATGGCTTAGATGATGATGAAGGATTGGTATTTTATGTCCAGAGGTAATTATTACATGCTTATCAGGAGGAGCACATGTTAAATTGTGATTTAAATCCTGCTTTGTATTTAACTGACACACTGAGCAGAATTTTTAACATGCTAGTTCACAAAGTGTCTGCAGGAAGACATGTCAACCTACTTAGACACATTATTCTGACTCCAAGCCAACAAGTCTTTGCTCTAACTCCTTAATGCAGTTTGCACAGCAGAGAAGCAGCAAGTAGTAATTTTGCAGTCTTAAGTTTGAACCTCTGGGGATTGAACCCACAACATCCTGCACTTTAGGCCAGTATGCTACCTTGAGACCACCAAGGTGTTTTATGGGTAATGATAGATAAAAATATTGTGTATACATCAATGAAACACATCAACATAAATAAATAAAAGACATTCAGAGGGCAACATAGTCCCAACAAAACTATTTATGGGGTTTATTAGTTCTGACAAAAGTAAAAGGTGGATAGTCTAGTCTATACAAGTTAACAAAAAATTGTTCCTGCTTGCTAAAAAAAAAAGACCGCTAAATGTTTGTATGTCCTTATTGCATTGCTCTTTGTCATAAAAAGATAATAGTTTTAGTATATTCAGAGATATCAGAATTTATAGTTTTATCACCAATAGAATAAGAAATTTGTTGTTTATTTTAGTGTACCACATTAAGTGTATAGATCCTTGGCTAACTAAGAGAAAAAAGACATGTCCTGTATGTAAACGTAAAGTTATACCGGGGAGTAATCCCGACTCAGATTCATCAGATGAGGACACAGAGAACGAGTCATCAAATGAACGCACTCCATTATTGATAAGCAACAATAATCAAGTAATGACTACACCAAGAAGATCTACTTTTGATAATTCTGGTATGTTATACAAAAATGGCACTATTTGACAGGTCACTTGTTTTTTTTTAAATTATAGCATTTATAACGCAGTGAATGATAGGTAAAGTATGAAACTACCTTTTTATGTGAAGTCTAAAAATTGTAGCAATTAAAAATCCATTTATGACTTTTTTTATGCACATCTTACATTGCTAACATATGCTTAATTAATGATAAAATGACCATCAGCATATGGTCACTTTTTATTAGGGTTGAGTGACTTAGAGCTTGTAGAGTAAGTATGAAATATTGGTCTATTCTCAGAAAGCTATTGTAATTTTTCAAATGTAATAATATTTAAAAACTACAGTCTTTTTGTTGGTACAAAACTGTTGAACTACATTTAATCAGTTAGGATAACATTTCACCTCCATGGTTTGCATTTCAGTAGAAAAATCTTCATCAATAATAGTGTACCTTTTAGTTGTTGTTGTAGTGTATCATTTGGTCTGCAACATTTCACCTCATAGAAAATTATGGTTATAAACCAGTGATAGTATTTCTCTTAAAGCAAACAATGTGCTGTAACAGTAGGACTTTTTAGGCCCCCGCCGTAGCGGAGGGGGCATTAAGTTTTACCCTTGTCCGTCTGTACGTATGTACGTCCCAAAATTGGTTTCCGTTCTCTAACTTCAGTTTGCCTAAACTAAATGTTATGAAACTTATACACAATGCTTATTACCACAAAATACAGATCAAGTTTGAATTTTGGTGGCATCACTTTAACCGTTCTAGAGTTATGCCCCTTTATTAATTGAAAAATTCCAAAATTTTTAGTTTCCGTTCTCTAACTAAAGTTTGCCCCTACCAAATGTTATGAAAATTATACACAATGCTTATTACGACAAAACACAGATCAAGTTTGAATTTTGTCGGGTCACTTTAACCATTCTCGAGTTATGCCCCTTTATAAATGGCAAAAAAAAATGCAAAATGTTTAGTTTCTGTTCTCTAACTTAAGTTGCCTCAACCAAATGTAATGAAACTTATACACAATGCTCATTACCACAAAACACTGATCAAGTTGAATTTTGGTGGCGTCACTTTAACCATTATCGAGTTAGGCCCCTTTATAAATCGAAAAATTGCAAAATTTTTAGTTTCCGTTCTGTAACTTAAGTTTGCCACAACAAAACATTATGAAACCTATACACAATACTTATTACCACAAAACTCCGATCTAGCACAAATTTGAGTAGCGACACTTTTATTGTTTTTGAGTTATGTCCCTTTATAATGTTGTACGCAAGCGGGGGCATCATCTGTGTCCATAGGGACACATTTTCCATTTATTTACATTTGTACAATGCTGTTTCCAATATTAATTATACCCCTGCTTGTTCTCTGACAAAAGTGATTCCCATTCTTAGATACTAAGTAACATATGGTCATGTTGATTTGTATAGAAATGGAATGTATATGTTCTCTGACAAAAGTGATTCCCATTCTTAGATACTAAGTAACATATGGTCATGTTGATTTGTATAGAAATGGAATGTATATGTTCTCTGACATAAGTAAGTCCCATTCTTAGATACTAAGTAACATATGGTCATGTTGATTTGTATAGAAATGGAATGTATATGTTCTCTGACATAAGTGATTCCCATTCTTAGATACTAAGTAACATATGGTCATGTTGATTTGTATAGAAATGGAATGTATATGTTCTCTGACAAAAGTAAGTCCCATTCTCAGATACTAAGTAACATATGGTCATGTTGATTTGTATAGAAATGGAATGTATATGTTCTCTGACAAAAGTAAGTCCCATTCTTAGATACTAAGTAACATATGGTCATGTTGATTTGTATAGAAATGGAATGTATATGTTCTCTGACAAAAGTAAGTCCCATTCTTAGATACTAAGTAACATATGGTCATGTTGATTTGTATTGAAATGGAATGTATATGTTTCCTTCTACAATAGGTTACCATGTTCTTTGTGTCATACTTAATTGAATTGTTTCATATTTTTCATGTTGGGGTCTTTTACAGCCGACCATACAGTATGGGTTTTTCTCATTGTTGAAGGCCGTACGGTTGCCTATAATTGCTTACATCCACTTCATTTGAACTTTGGTGGATAGTTGTCTCATTGGCAATCATACCACATCTCCTTATTTTTATACTTTGAACAGGTCTTAGTTTTAATTGTAGATTCTATTTAAGCAGCAACCTTATCCCGTTTTGTTCCACCAGTTGGAGTCTGTCCAGTTTTACTTTATCTATATATCGTTTACTTCTTACTTGAAGGACAGGTGATGTGTTAGTTTGACATAGTAGATGCTGATCAAGTTGATGTAAAACATTGTTGTTATATGAACAATTTCAAAAAATAAAATAAATCCAAATATAATTTTCTGTCATGCCAAGTAACATGTTTTTTGCTAAAGGGTTACCTGAAGCTGTAAGACAAGAAGTGACTACCGTTCATGTACGTACTCACAGAATAGAGGATTCTGATTCGGACTCGGATGATAATTCACTTTACCATACAGTTGGAGAAAGCCCAGAGGAACATTCTAGACCAAATACTGGAGCCATTAATATCACCTATGAAAGTTCAAGTGAGGAATCTGATGAAGAGAGTGACGAGGAAGATCATGATCAAGAAGAACATGCTGAAAGGGGTTCTAATGGGGAACATAGTGCTGAGGGTGCTAATGGAAACGCTGTTGTTGTTGTCATCAACAATGAAAAATCAGATAAAACTGTGAACCATGTTGTTTGAATATGATATTTAGAAGTGGTTTTGTTTTATTTCATTTTATTCCAATTTTGATGTGATACTCCATGTTAAAATGTTAGAAATATTTTGTATAATTTATTTATTTATTAATGTATATTAAATTTATGTTTATGCATCATATAGATCACTTGCTACTATTTTGTGCTATTATTTAAGCAAGTTCATTTATTCTTTTAATCTGTCAAATAAATTCAATACTGGTAATTAATAAAGTTAAAATTTGGTCCTCAGTTAGCATTTTCCTAGCATATATTTTTTGTTAGAGATATTGCTCTTATTCTTATTTTGTAAAGAATTGTGAAATTAATTTTCTGAATCGGATGAAAAGTCTTGGACCATTTTAATAGATCTAGTTTATATAAAGCTATTGTTGTCTTGATACAATACAAACATGCTCATATCTTATGGATTTTAGAACAGAAACTTTGTAGGATTACAACCTCTTTACAGATAAATAATTAAGCTTGTAGAGGCACTTGTTTTTATTGTTATGGCTCTAGTTCATGTTTGTTATTAATTTTTTTACTTTAAGAAGATATGATAATCCTTATGAATTTTTTGTAAGAGTTGATCCCTTTTCAATTTTAGTCATTATTTATCCTTTCGCAGAACTATATTTCATAGTGATTCTTCATATTGGAGTTACTAGGTTTGATTGAAAAGGCAAATGCTCTTTAAACAGAACTAGTTCTAATATGTTATGATGTCATAGTAAGAGATCAGCCTCTATTTTGTAAATAGTCAAGATCAAAGTTCATGTGACCAAAAAGTATGGTTATTCTAATGATGTCACAGCTAATAGCCATATTCTATTATTTGACGAAAGCTCACAAGAAATAATGATATATATGCAGCAGTGATAAATATTTTGTAGATAAAATTTTCATTTTCAAAAATGTTTTAACTTTAATTACAATAGTTGTATATATGTAATATATGATATAATCCATACCTTTATAACCATGATAAATAGTTCTACAGTTTTATGTTACATTTCCTGCAGTTGTTAATGACTAATATGTAAGAATTAAAGTTTTTTGTAATAGTGTGATATTTTGATATGTGTATTTATCTTTGGTAGTTGTTTCACTGATTAGGACTTGTAATGACTGTTGTGCATACCTGCCAACCTCTGAAACCTTAGATCTCCCCCTCAGCTATGACAGGGAGACTCCCTCTCAAAACGGGAGGGTTGGCAGGTATGGTTGTAGTTTTTGTTACATTGATTGTTGGGACAGGGCATTATAGTTACATTTGTGATTTGATAATAAGCTTATATTCATCATCATATACTATGCTATTTACTAATAGTTCTGTCAATGACAATAATCATTATAACAAATACTCAAAATGAGAAAAACACCAATATTTTATTGGCTCCATTAATATTAGAATTAAAAGTTGTTATCAATCCTAAAGATAACTTATATATTATTTTGGGTTAGAAATAAGGTTTACATGCAGTTTTCCTACCATTTTCATGCAGAAGCAGGAAAAATTTAGAGGTTTGAAAAAATAAGAACAGGTATCATAAATTAAATGAATACAACTTGATTCAAAACCTAATTCAGTCGGGATTTTGTCTATTGGATTTACTTATCTCTTGGTCAAGTCAATAATCTGCATGTGAAAAGTTGTCATTAGGATGAAGAAACATACAGACCTATTAAAAAATTAGGAAAAAAAACACAATGTGTGTTTATGGTTACCCGACTGACACATTTTTCATTACATTGAACCTTTGTCTCAATATGAAAATGAATGTCAGTTATCTTTCTGGGCACAAAACAATATGGTTTTGCACAGAATTAGAAATATTGGGTGAAACAATAAATCATATTGATATAAAGTTACAACAAACAGTCAAGATTACATATTATGATCTTGTGATAACTTTTCCTTGAAAAGAATAAAATGAAAAATAAGGAAAATTGAAATGTAGATTCCATAAGACCGATTTGTATTTATATTTTTTTACTTAATTGCCCTGCCATACAACTTAGATATTGTTTTCTTTGATTTAGATAATTGGACTATTTAATGTTTGAATACATTAGAAAATGATTAAATTCATTTATTTAAAGTGTCATAATCTAGGAAAATTCATTTTTGTACAATTTTCAGTCTAACAAAAATCTTTATTATGAAAACTAATTTATTTGGAATTGAAACTTATTTGATATTTTGAATATGTTCATGCTGTGCAGTTTTATAATTTTGCTTAAGCGGTAAATAATGCTTTGATTATACCTTTTTTACTGTAATCGATTACTAGTGTTATTCTCAGAACTTCTATAAAACAATTTTATACATTCTAGTCCTTAAATTAAATTTGTAAATAAAATATTATGATTACTGTTAAATTATTTTATTTTGTGGTTATCAATATTTGTGAGCAAAAATGCATTTTTCTAATTGTGTCTTAGGTATTTGCTTTAAAATGAAAAAAAAAAAAAAACCCCAACTATTTTTTTTTAATTTTGGTGCTTTCTAAGTCTCTGGATTTACCTACATTAGGAATGCTCAAACAAAACAAAAAATTGAAGGCCAAGGATGTATAACTACTTGAATATTTGATGAGCAATATGACCAAAATGACCCCAATAGAATAGCCAAATTCTTCTAAGGTCAAGTTTTCCTAAGGCAGTTGGAACACTTTTTTAGTCCCCTACCGACGAAGTCGAAGGGGACTTTAGGTTTACACTCTGTCTGTCTGTCTGTCTGTCCATCCATCCGTCTGTCCATCCATCAGTCAGGCAAATCAACTTTCCACACTTTTTTTCTTCGTTCTTGAAGATATTGATTTGATATTTAGTATATAGTTTTGCCATGACAAGTTATAGATCAAGTTCGAATTTTGTTCCGGTCTGATGATTTAGTCCAAAGTTATGGACCATAACTCTGGACCATATCTAATGTTAGAGTACTATGTTAAACCATATTTCTGTACAAAGGGAGATAACTCATTTTTTAAAAGACATTCTTTGGTAAATTATTTGAAGAATTTTTTGGCAGGTTTGTTTGTTATTTTGTATAAACTAATTTTCTGAATGCTTTATATATATAAAAAAAATAATAAAGGGAAATCCTTTAATTAGATAATAATCTATTTTTATTAATGTATATATTACATTACATTGTGTAGATAAAAATTGTTGACATTTTATAGATAAGTTACAAATCTATATTAGTTTGTGACAAATAAAAGAATAAATATTTGGAACTATTAATTATATTTGATTATAATTTGAAAATAGATATACACTGTATTACATCATATCTAATTTTAGTGAACTTTTAATCATATCTAATGTTAAAGTGTTTTCCACACTTTTTTTCATCATGCTTGAAGATATTGATTGATAATTGGTATATAGTTTTATCATGACAAGTTATACAGATCAAGTTCGAAATTTTGTTTCGGTCTGATAATTTTGTGCAGAGTTATGGTCCTTGGACTTGAAAAATTCACTCATTTAATCAGTTTTCCACACTGTTTTTAGTCATGCTTGAAGATATTGACTTGATATTTTCTTTTTGTTTACACCATGACAAGTTCTATAACTGTTATAGAACAAGTTAGCTTTTTGTTCCAGTATAATGAATTTTTACCCGGTAGGGGACTATGTATTGCCATGCAATACTCTCAGAATGCTTGTTCTTAATAATTTCTAAATTTATCAATGAAGAATTTATGAAACGTATGCTATAAATCATGTCAATCTCAAAGCACTGACTACTGAGCTGATGAATATATATTAAAGGCTTCAAACTTCCTGCATTTCAGTGCTAAGTGTTTTATATAGTAAACTGAAAAAGTTGTAAAGGATGAACTATCTTAGTTAATGAAGTGATAAGTGATTGTATATATATTTAATAGTTGTATCAAAGTCAAATTACTCTTTAATCTCACATTTTTTTGGTTTTTTTTTTATTATTGAACCTTATAAGAGAACCATTAACTAATCTCTTCTACTGTTAGCATCAAGCCTGTGGATATACAATACTAAAATCTATCCAAGATTTAATTCAAGGAAGTTCTTGATGAGGAATTGTTTATAAACAAATATAAATGTATGTATTTGGTCATTGTAATATTTCAGGAATTCTGTTTAACTGAAAAAGTGTCTTAAAATAATCCTATTTATACCAGATTACTGTTAATGATTTATGCAATAAAGATAAAAAAATATATATTACATTAATCTGATACATGGACAGTCATAAAATGTCAAGAGATGCAGACATATTTCCATATGAATGATCTGTCTTAGGCTGGTGTTTTCTGAATACAGGGAACATTCAGAACACATTGTTATTACATTTTGTCTGCCTATCTGACCCCTCTGTATTCAGTCTAGGAATTTTTATTCATTGAAGTTGCGTAGGGTATAATGTTTTTGACCTGTCCGTACATCTGTCAGTGCTGTTCTTGTCATCACAACTTCTCTGAAACTAGACAACAGAATTTCATGAAACTTTGTAGATAATTAGGACATACTATGTTGATGTGCATATCGACAGGAAATTATGATTCAATTTTTTTCTAGGAGTAATGCCCCTTTGAACTTAGAATTTTGGCCTAAATATACTACTGCAACAGTTTGTCATTGCAACTCCTCTAAAACAACACCACGGAATTTCATGCCACTTTTAAGATAATAAGGAAATACTATGTAGATGTGCATATCGACAGGAAATTGTTATTGTCTCCCGCAAAACCCTTTGCGGGGGACATGGAAATACAGGATGTCCGTCCCGTCTTGTTAGCGCTCTCAGGTGTACAGTTCTTGCCAGATTTTTATGAAATTTATGAAAATCAGTGCCGATCAATTATTTTTTAAAGAGTTATGCCCGTTGGAAACATTAATTATATGGAAAATGGCCTTATGAGCGCTCTTATGTGTACAATTCTTGTCAGATTTTTATGAAATTATATTATAGGTTTATATAATCAATGTTTTTGATGAGTTCGAAAATCAGTGCCGATCAATTATTTTTAAAAGAGTTATGTCCCTTGGAAATATTGATTATATGGAAAATTGCATTGTTAGCACTCTCATGTGTACAATTCTTGCCAGATTTTTATGAAATTAATAATATAGGTTTATATCATCAATTTCTCAGACAAATTTGAAAATTGGTGCCGATCAATTATTTTTAAAAGAGTTATGTCCCTTGGAAATATTAATTATATGAAAATTGCATTGTTAGCGTTCTCAAATGTACAATTCTTGCCAGAATTTTATGAAACTTATATCATAACATGTTCTTGTCCTGAATATGCATATCAATTTGCCGCTGGACATTAAGCAGCCATCCATCATCATCATCATAGGTTTATATCAGCAATGTCTTTGACACTTTCTAAAAATAAGTGATGATCAAATATTTTTAATGAGTTATGCCCTTGGAAAAATTAATTATAACTGAAATCGCATTGCATTTGCTCTGAAGCCTTCATTTCTCTAAGATATTTATAATTGTTTTAAAGAACAAAAAAAAAGGACTTTTTTTAGTCTTCTTGGATAGATAAATTTTTTGCAATGCAGGGGACATTGGAACCCTGTTCTTTTATTCAATTTGTTTTCTAGAAGTGATGCCCTTTTAAACTTAAAATTTTGGCCTAAACATACAGCTGCAACAGTTAGTCATCACAATTTCTTTGAAACCAGACAACAGAATTTCATGAAACTTTGTAGGTAATGAGGACATAATATGTAGATGTTCATATCCACAAGAAATTTTTATCAGTTGACTTCTTTTGGAGTTATGAGTCTTTGAACTTAGGAATCTGGTGAGATTTTGTTTGCCCAGTGACAATGTGGGGGCATGGGGTATGTGAGCATAATCACAAAGGGTCTTTAATTTGATAGGTTTTAAGTAAATATATGAGTATATGCCCTGAGATTGCCCTCTACAGTATCTTTCACCACACATCAATGGAAAACTGAAATATGATATAAATTATCATACAGGTCTTCCAATCATTCTGTTAATGATTTCGATCACTCTGATTGAAGGAAGTACTTTAGAAGACATACACCTTATCTTCGAAATTTTGAGAGCGGAAAGGGATGATTTTTAAAAATGAGAAAAAAACTGGTATTTTTTTAGTGAAATAATAATGAAAATGGCTGCAATTTCATACTATTGATGTTCTAAGTTTCAATCCTTATGTTGTCTTGTTTTATTAGACTCAATATTTTCAATTGCCCTCTTGATATTCTCTCACTCTCTTGATCTTTATCTTGAACTTGGTTTGAAAATGAAATCAGAAAAATCGCCAACTAGCTACAAAAAATTTAAGAGTGGTCATTCAATCTCAGATGGTGAAAAGAACAAATGTTACACATTTATAAAGTAAAAAAATAAATACATTATATCGAGTGCGTTGAAAGTGCTTTTCTGGATTTACCTTAATCAGGTATGCTCAAACTCACACTTGACACACAGTTTATATCACTTTCTATACTTACCTGCATCAACTTAATGCAAGAAACATAATTTGTAATTTACAAGGGTGGAGGGTAGTCCTCAACAAGTTTATAGAAAGAACTTGTCTAGCAATCCAAGCTCTTAATTTCTTATAACATCTAACCATGTCCAAATGGTCTTCTTAATAAAATAAGCATCTCATGTAGGTACATCTTTCAAATAAAAGAATGTGAAAGTGTTTTCTGATGCCCAATGAGCAATTTTCATGATTTTAGATACTGATACTCCATTTAACAGAGCAAATGATGTAACCATTCTATTTGTATCATGAATCTTGCTGTTTAAAGCTTAAAGTACTTATTGAGTCAGCTTTAAAACTAAACCACCTTTTGATAAGTAAAAAACTTGGAATCAATATTTTTGCCTTGAGCATCACTGCAGATACTTTAATTGTCATATATATGCAGAGCTGGTGCAGTAAAATTGAAACTGTCAAGGTTTTTGGGGTTAAGATTGCATTCATGTAATCAACTCACTTATGGGACTGGCTTGATATTTATTAATTTTCCAGATTTTATCCCTACTTTTGAAGTTTTTTTACCAATCTATCAAGGACCATAACTTCTGAACTGCAAAAGTGAAAATCATCAATATTGTACTTAACCTCCATTTTGTCATCAGTAACAACATATTCAGATTTGGAAAAGCATCTTTTGGATAGTTCATAAGTAATTGTACAGAAACAACAAAAAAGCCAGTTTACAACATATTAACAACCCCTGTAAGATAAAAGTGAAAATGGACACGTGGTTTTACCTCGTCAAGTAATAGGATAAACCTATCAAAGATTGACAAAAGCACATCAAACACATCATGCAGTGTAAAATCATCATATTTTGGAACATCATTTAATGCTAAAGCCTTATCAAAAATGTAAAAATTCACATACTTACATTGATGTTAAAACCACATCGAATATCTATATAATTATTAGGGCCCCGCCTAGTGGCGGGTCGCTTTATAGTGATCAGTCTGTCCGTCCGTCCTTAACAAATTGTGTCCGCTCTATATCTAGAGAATCCGTACTAATTTCATACTTTATACTTGACATGTATATTAACCAACACCAGAGGGTGTGTCATAATGTTTGTACAACTTCCTAGGTCAAAGTTCAAGTTGACAACCCCATGTCCTATGGTAAAGATGTGGGCCCACAGAGATGGCTCCCATCTCAATGATGTCTAGTATCTAAATGTTATCTTTCAATTGTACATATATTATTTTGATTTTTAGTCCCCTACCGACGAAGTCGAAGGGGACTAGGTTTGCACTCCGTCTGTCTGTCTGTCTGTCTGTCCATCTGTCAGTCCGGCAAATCAGTTTTCCACACTTTTTATACGACCGCAAAAAATTAAAAATTTTATGGTAGTATATTGGTATCACGTTGTCAGCGTCGTCTGAAGACAGATGGTTTCTGGATAATAACTTTAGTAGAAATCAATAAAATTTTAACACAAAGTCTATAACCAGAAAAGGAAGGTTGGGATTGATTTTGGGGGTTATGGTCCCAACTGTTTAGGAATTAGGGGCCAAAAAAGGGGCCCAAATAAGCATTTTTGTAGTTTCCAGACAATAACTTGTGTTAAAGTGTATGAATCTCTCTGAAATTATACCACAAGTTTCCATACAACAAAGGGATGGTTAGGAATGACTATGGGGGGTTATGGCTCAAACCAAGTTTTTTCTGGTTAAAGGACAATTAAGACAATTTAAAGCAGTCTAAGGGAGGTAATCCAATCCCAATTTAAAACAACAATGTTTGATTACCTCCCTTACACTGCTTGTAAATTATGTATTAAGAAATGATGATTGTCTTGAGGTGATTAGCTGTCAATTTATTTTTAAAAGTTACTATTAATTAATATTAATTTTTTCCATGACTATGTATGTCATTTTATATTTTAAGATTTGTAATTATGGTTGCAAATTTTATTAAAATTTGAATTGAGATTATGACTATATCTTGAGGGAATGATTTTTTTTTTGGAATAAGGGAAAGGGGGAGGTGAAAAAAAATGGGGTGGGGTTAATAAGAATTTGGGGGGGGGACTATTTTTTCTCATTTCAGATTTCCGAAATTAAAAAGAAAATTTCTTCAAATATTTTTTTGGGGGGTTAATATTCAACAGGATAGTGTATTGCACAAAAGCAAAAAAATGGGGTCAATTTTATTCAGGGGGGAGGGGGTCAATTTGCAACAGCATAGTGTATTGCACAAAAGCAAAAAATTTAATATAAATTCAAATCATATAACCAATTTTTAAGTTCTTTGACTACAGTTATTCTGTGGCAGAAACCTATTATGTGTCAAATATTTAATTACAATCCAAATTCAAACCTGTATCAAGCGTGAATATTGTGTCCATTTTGGCCCCAACTTTTCAGGGTTGGACATCTGCGGTCGTATCCAGCTGCGCTCAGCGAAGCGATTTATTGAAAAGAGCTATAGCCCTTTGGAAAATAAATTATTATGTGCTTGAAGATATTGATTTGATATTTGGTATATTGTTTTATTATGACAAGTTACAGATCAAGTTCGAATTTTGTTCCGGTCTGATGATTTTGTACAGAGTTATGGTCTTTGGACTTAGAAAATTCACTCAAATAATCAGTTTTCCACACTTTTTTTCATGCTTAAAGATATTGATTTGATAATTGGTATATAGTTTTATCATGACAGTTACAGACCGAGTT